CAAAGATGTCAAAAAACTGCATATGAATATGTGAAGCAACAGCTCGCACTTCTGCTCATATACTACTAACGTAAAGTACCGCGAGAGAGCCCCACCTTGATTTTACAGCCAGTGAAGGAGAAATTGTATGCAACTAAGTTCGTATGGGTGTGAGAACCTTAGGGCGCGTTCGAATTGTCACTCATTGACTTTTCGAGGAGTTTCGTTTTTCTGAAAAGGTGGCCTTGTTGGCCTCTTCAGAAAACGAAAGGCTCCTCGAAACTCCACAGCCTCCTCCAACGGGTGAGGTGGATTAGTTTCGAAGAGTTTTGAATATTCCCGCGGAAATTGTCATTTTCTAGGAGAAGTGATTTCTCGTGAAAGTAGTTAGAACCAGTACCGTATCGCAGCGTACATGTACAAGGGCGCTACTTGTAGATCTACACAGCTGTGTCTCTCTCGAGTCGATTGACAGCGCAAACTCTTGATTGTCAAGTATTGTAATACATGTGAGAGAAATCGTTGTATTGGTGGGTCTACATATACAGTTTGACCTGTCGACCTTTGACCCTCAACTCATCACGGTAAGAAACCAAGTGCAGTAACAAAATACTGAGTAAGGGTGTCTCTACAAATCATATTTTCTAGCTGCAGAAGGTTGCGCTTCGCTAGCTTCCAATGCCTGCTGATTTTGATTTTTTCTCTCTGATAGTTTCATTTTATGAGATGGCGAATTTGCTCCCAACCGGCTGCAGCAGCGATTGCTCTGTTCCGCTGCTACCAGTAATTCCACTGCCAGCATGCACCGCTAGTAGTAGTACTGATTCCTGCTCTGAGAAAGTGACTAGTGATGTGACCTTGTCATCACTACCTGCGTTACATGTTGCACTTGCAGAGGCTTCGGGAGGTGTTGAAGGCCAAGCTGATGGAAGTACGACGACAGCTGGTAGATCTACCAATAGCCCAGGTGTGACATCTCCGGTATTGCCCGCAGCATCAGCAGCTGCTACTAGTGGTGGCAATGTGCAGTTTACATGGTCAATCGAGTAGACCATGGTCTTGATTGCAGCATTCAACGAGCACAAAGACAAGCTGCAAGATAAAAACTTCAAGAAAAAGACTGTGTGGCAGCTGATCACTGATGAGGTTCGCAAGTTTTGCCCTGGATCCACTGCTCTCCCAACAAAGGCCCAGTGTGAACACAAGTGGAAAACCCGTGTTGCAGCATGTAAGCGTACCAAGGACCACAACGCTAAAACGGGCAATGACAAGAGAGAACGTGTCTTCATGACAGAGCTCAGCGAGGTGCTATGCGATAAAGTTTCGGTGGAGGCCAAGGTGGTAGCCGGAGTCCGCAGGCCACCAATGCGGATAGAAGATGCCAATCCAGCGGACGAATTAATTGAAGTGAAAGCAACTGAATCGGCAAAGCGTGTGCATATCACCAGCGATGAGGAGGGTGGTAAAGAAGAACGTATTGAGCAGGTCCCTCTCAAGAATAATAATAATAATAAAACAGGTCGCGTAATGAAGCAGCATAACGATAGATGTGCAAAGTCATGATGCCTGGTCCGCTTCTGTTCTGGGTTCACTACACCGTGCGTTGCAGCCGCGAGCAAAACCAGCTCAGGCTGAGAGTTCCCTCCATGATTGCTTGTCCAAAGCGCGCATTCTGAGCCCACTCAGATCAGTCATGGTCTTCAGTGGCATGTCTCTGGCAGCTGTGCTTGCCTTGACTGCCGTGGCCAGGTTCGATTCTCAAGAAGAAACCTAAAAAGCTGACCCAACGCAAATCGTCGACTCGAGGATTTGCACGACCTGACCAAGACGGTGGAGCAGGCAAGGGAGCAAAGAATGACAAGCTCACAGACAAGGCTCGAGGAGAAACTGGAAAGAATTGACAATCTCACGGATGTCCTTAAGCAAATGGTCGCCAAGATGCATGTTCAAAAAAAGTTCCATTCTAAACTATAATAATTGCAGAATCGGGAAAAATTAGAACATAGATTTTGTGACACATTTGTCTCTACAATTGAATGTCTTCCATTTGTATTTGAAGATCTTATGTATGTGAATCAGCACGCAAGTGCGTTCGAACGTGTGTGTGTGTGTGTGTATGTGTGTTTGGAAGGGAGGGGGGGGGGGCAAAGTTCATATACACGCACCTACAGTCCTTGTACCTGCGGAAAACAGCTCGACTGCTGCTTGGCACAAAGACAAAATGTCGACGTCTCAATGAAAGGAGATTATAAATTCTGATTCATCATTACTGCAATAGAACAGCGGAAACGCAACACTGGTTAACATGCAAGCAGAATAACTACATTGTCCTTCTTGAGACGAGCAAGGCAAGATACTCGAACCTCCGAAAAGACAAAAAGAACATCGATCCACAAATAATCTTCGCAGCGATATGGCTAGCTACTTTAAGAACAGCAGTTACGTCATAGCATAACATTTTTTATAAATAATTAGTAAATGCAGATCAACGCAAAATTATGGAACGATTGCCAGAAATGGCAAATAAGATCTAGATGAAGGTAAGATCTAGATGAAGGTAAGATCTAGATTCTAGATGAAGGTAAAATGAAGAAATACAAACGAGATGACTGTCATAATAACTCAAGCCGAACGCATACAGTATTGTCCACTTTGACGCTTGCTACACACATACATACACACATACACATACACACACACACACACACACACACACACATGTACAAACCAGACAGTCTTCGGCAGAACAGTCCTCCTGTCTAGGACCTTTCACTGTGCGTCTGCTGAAGAAGGGCTTTTATTTTGTTCCGTTTCGTAACTGCGGTGGCAGCGTGTGTACCAATAGGGATGGCTTCTCCTGCATTTCCATGTCCACCGTCATCAATATCTTCTTCCTCCAGCATATCCTCGACAGAATCATTCGCGAGAAGGCACAGGTTGTGGAGTACGCATGATGCCAGGATCATTTTGGTCAGTAGGTCCAAATCACTGGCGTCAATGTATTTCAGTCGTCTCCAGCGGCCCTTGAGCAAAGCGAACGCTCTTTCTATAGTGACACGAGCCGTGGATAAGCGGGTGTTGAACGTACTTTGGCCTTGACTGGTCTGTCCCTTTTAGGGCACCATTAGGTAGGGCTTCAGTGGGTAGGCACTGTCGCAAACAATGCACTCGTTGCCTTGACACAAGCCATTTTTCTCCAAATCATCACTGAGGGGCGATCGACGAAACACACGAGCATCATGGACGCTTCCAGGCCAGCCAGTGAATGTGTCCGTGAATAACATGACATCATGATCACGCACGGCTTGCAAAACGAGGGAATGGAATCCTTTCCTGTTGATGTACGAAAGCGGATCATCAAGAGGTGCCTTTACAGGTATGTGACAACCATCGATCGCACCCACAATTCCGGGAAAGCCTCTGGATTTGTAACGGAATCCTTCGATTACGTCTCCCACACTATCACCAGTTGGCCATCTTAGGACGCTTGGTCCAACTTCCCGACAGAGAACACTAACCACGCGCTTCATAACAGCATGGCATGTTAAACGGGACACGCCAAACCTGTCCGCTACCGCTTGGAATGACTCCTGGTTTCCAAATACCCACAGCGTGATCTGTAATTGCTTCTCTGGTGATACTGGTGGCAAACCTCCGTGGGACGAGTCAGGGTTGAACTCAGGTAGGGTAGCTAGACGACCTAGCACGCTATTGAAAGTTGATCTGGCCAAGCGAAAATGCTGGCGGAAAGAAATATCCAATAGTCTTGGCACAATCTCCTCTGAGTAGTTTACCACACAGCAACGTTTCTTCCGACCAGTAACAAAAGCAGCAGCAGCAAGAACCTCCTCTTCCTCCACATCCTCTTCGTCTTCATCATCACTACTGAGCAGCTCCTGTACGATCCGTGCAGCGATGGTGGCGACGACCGCAAAATCTATTGCACGAGAAACACTTGCAATAGTGAATGCCAGTAATGTACAAAGGCTGAATATTGGTGGTCAATTCTTCAGCCTTGCAAGCTGTTGTTGAATGGTGCAATCCCAGCACAAGTAACAGTTGATATGGCTTTTGCTGTAGCATCGCTGTCATCCCCTCCTCTTCCGGCGATGGGTGTCAAAAGGTCAAAGGTACAGGGAAGCGCACAAAAATGCACTTCCGACAGAATAATAAGACTCTTTGAGTGATTGCAAAGAATCATTCACAGAACTAGAAACCGGATCGGACGCCATCATCGCCATGACAATTCCACTGAAAAACTCTAAAATGATAGAAACCGTTCTATTGGGGGGGGGGGACTTCAACTAACCTCTTTAAAAAATTTGTTGGAACAGTTGATGAAGACAATCCGAACGTGCTCTTAGTGTACTAAGGTCGCAGTTAGCATGTTCTTGAGTGGAGTTCCAAGGTAAACTGCGTACAGATAGACTCAACAGCGTGCAGTGCGTGTACAAGGTGCTTGTCGGTATGACATCACCTCCATAGCACCACCACCATAGCTCCACCACCACCATAGCACCACCACCACCATAGCACCACCACCACCAGCACCACCACCAGCACCACCACCTCCATAGCACCAGCACCACCACCACCACCAGCACCACCATAGCACCACCAGCACCACCACCTCCATAGCACCACCACCAGCACCAGCACCACCACCAGCACCACAACCACCAGCACCACCACCAGCACCACCACCACCAGCACCACCACCTCCATAGCACCACCACCTCCATAGCACCAGCACCACCAGCAGCATCACCACCAGCACCACCATAGCACCACCACCAGCACCACCAGCACCACCACCTCCATAGCACCACCAGCACCACCACCACCAGCACCACCACCACCACCAGCACCACCACCACCACCAGCACCACCATAGCACCAGCACCACCAGCACCACCACCACAATAGCACCACCACCAGCACCACCAGCACCACCACCTCCATAGCACCACCTCCATAGCACCACCACCAGCACCACCACCAGCACCACCACCAGCACCACCAGCACCAGCAGCACCACCAGCAGCAGCACCACCACCACCATAGCACCACCACCACCACCACCTCCATAGCACCACCACCACCACCAGCACTACCACCACCTCCATAGCACCACCACCACCACCACCTCCATAGCACCACCACCACCACCACCTCCATAGCACCACCACCACCACCACCACCACCTCCATAGCACCACCACCACCACCACCACCACCACCTCCATAGCAGCAGCACCACCACCACCACCACCACCTCCATAGCACCACCACCACCTCCATAGCACCACCACCACCACCACCACCACCACCACCACCACCACCACCACGAAAGGACGAGTTGGTGGGGTGCTCTCACGGTACTTTAGGGTACAACGACTCATGGCTTCAGTATGGCACCGTGTTTACACACTAACTATCCAAACAATGTCATGTTAGGTGACTGGGTCCAGGATCACTTGACTTATACTAGACATGTATCTGTAGACCTAGGCTCTGCAGCTATTGCACATGGTGCAGTTTCCTGAGAGAGAGAGAGAAAGAGAGAGAGAGAGAGAGAGAGAGAGAGAGAAAGCAGCAGCAGCAGCAGCAGCACGGCTTATGGTATTCATAGATAAAGGAAGAAAGCTTGCGTAAAAGAGAAAAACCACAGAGGCTTTATCGACGGAAAGTCAACGAACTCACTGGAAATGGATGTAGTCTCCTTTCGACACAGCAAGACGATTCGGTACAAAGTCGTACTCAACCCCAGGATAGGTCTGGACTATATTGCCACGCTTGCCACGTACCTGCTCAAACAAAATAAAGTAAACAGGGAGTTTTGTTCCGCGTAATCGTGTCGTCCCTCACAGGACTTCAATAGGGACGTTTTTCCCCTTATTCTATTGTAGGCTGGGTGCCATTCAGTCCAAAGCTGGCTCTCTCCCAGTATGCTGACTCCAGTCAGGTAGACTAGCAGCGGGCCAAGACAAGATGCAACCCTAGGCATAGGGGGCATTGAGCACTCTCGCAGGTAACTTTAGAAGAGAGAAAACAGCCCATAATATCGACAATCCAACTATTCAACTCGGATGGTGAGCCAATTAAATTATGGTGAAAAGGAGAAGGACAAAATGTTACGTTGGTGGACAGTTAGTCATAACTCGTGACATTTTGCCCTTCTCCTATTTCACCATAATCCAACTATTATTAGCAGGAATCTGATACCCGTGCTAGTGCGTAGAAGACACGGCTGTCGGTAACGACGTGTCCACCGTGACAGCCTACACTGGCATGCATGCAGGTACAGTAAACCTCCTCAGATCCGGGCAGGTTGGGACCGAGCACTGTCTGTAAGTAGGAATTACCCGTAACGTAGAACTTACATACTTACTGCATGCAAGCAAACATTTGTATGCCAATCAATAGTTTTTTGGGGCCATTTTCCGTTGAAACGCCAATCTTTGTGACTCTAGATGGGTCAGAAAGGTGCCCGGTACGGACATGACCGGACTAGGGGCGTCCGAATCTGGGGAGTTTACTGTAGCTGCATTAGCTGCAGATTGCAGTAGGTGTCAGTGCCCAGTGAACATGTAATGCTATGCTATTTCATGCACACATGCATCAGCAGAATGGCATTAAAAAAAAAACAGCACGGGTTTTGCATGGATTAGATGTGTGGTCTTCTCTTCACCCGGTTCTGTTTCTTGGATTACGGCGGAGGATCGTCTCTCACCTGAACATTATGGATTCGAGCGTTGGCTCCAACACCAGCTGGTTGTTTCTTGATGGAAAATGTATGAGATCTGCGCGCACATAAACGCAAACGCACCCATGGATACACATGAATACGCACAGTTTACAAGCGATGGCAAGAAAAGCAAAGGCAAAACTAACATCACCACCCAGAGATGAATGTTCTTTTGCCTCCTGTTCAAAGCTAGATCCAGGATGTCTTGTCCGCTAAGTGCGTTTTGAAAGTCTTAACCATCAGACTTGGGGTTTAGGAACAACAGCACATACTAGTGTTGAAACGATCTCACCGGATACTCGTTAGCTCGCTCGCCAGAAACTCGGCTCGTTTGTGCGGCCAGCTCGTTTGCACTAACGAACACCGTACACCGTACTCCGTACACATGGCAATACATGTCGACCGGGGAGTAGTGCTGACCCGAATTTGCCAGCTGAATCTCGATATTTTGCGGCATAATTTTGCTCGTGCATCGTCGAAATTTTGCTTTCATTTTGCTAGGCCACTCGATATTTTGCTCCCTTTTTGCTCCAAAATTTGTGTCACGTGTGAGAAAACTGACCGAAAGTGGGTTACGTGTTGGCAAAAATGAGAAAAAGTGAGTCACGTGTTGGTAAAATTGTGCCGAAATGAGTCATGTGCACCGTATATGTGTAAAATCTCCCAATTCCCAGCCAACACACCGATATTTTGCTCCATTTTGCCAGCAAATTCCCTTTCAAAATTCTTCGATATTTTGCTAGAAGAATTGCTAGCAAATTCGGGTCAGCACTACCGGGGAGTCGTAAAATATGACTGTTACGACTCCCTGGTCGATCGAGAGTCCAGTCCCGCGCAAAGTGAAAATCACTCGCAGTTACAGGTGACTGTATGCCTGCACGACACTTGAGTTGTTTCAGTTGTCGTTGCAGCTTTGGTGGACTCTACTGATGTCCTGTTCCGCATCTGCTGACCTGTCGCAGGATATGCTTCAGTCACCTCTCCATTCGAGTGAAAGTTACGCTCAGTCGTTTGGAAGTTTTCTTCCGCGATGCAGCGAAGACCAGGGCTACTTGCAATCTTTGCAAAACGGTCTATTGTTACAAAGGCTAATCCACGACGGCGCTGAAAAGACATCTCGACACCAACCAGCAGTCCGAAGTGAAGCAGCAGCAAACCCAAAAGCCGGCGGTGATGATTTGAACCAGCTGAAAAAAATCGAACTTAGAAAAAAAATTATTCAAAAAAATAATCATATTTGCCACATCAATGAAACTCGTTAGATCGCTCGATAGTAGTGACTTTACTCCCTCGCACCCAGACGCTGATTTTTTGGAACAAGTTTCTATACTTCCGATGGGAGAATCCGACATGGCAGTGCATTTCGGCGTGGCCAGGTCAAATTGTAGAATATCGCATCGAGTGAATTGCTTTATCTGAGAGAGGAGATGTTCGTGCCCTTGAGACCCGAAGTCCCGTTTCCATACGACAAAATTTAGGAGCTCTGCGCTCAGCGCTTTTTCAGGGTATGAATTTCGGGTTGTTCTGGTCGGGTCGCAGCGTCGCGGACTATTCCATCGTCTTCAGCGTCGAAAAACTACTGGCCATGTGAAATTACAAGGCGGTGAGACGCTTTCGTCTTCCTCTACGAGCGAATTTGTTCTGCGCCAGCATACCTAAGTATGCAATTTCGTACGCGCAGTTCGAGTGACGAGGCGTGTGCACTGTACACTGTACTGCATGCACGGACTGTGCGGTCGTTCTCGATTCTCCCATCGCTCCCATTCATTTCTGTTTCCAGCAAAAGTCCAAGTAAGTATTAGTTGGCGCACTTCAAATGACTATAACTCAAGAATGGCTGGGCCGATTCGAATAATACTTACAGATTTCCTATGTACTACGCCTGGGAGAATCGAATGAGACCAAAATCGAAGCGATCGGAGCAAGTTTTGGAAATTGGGTGTAGTCACTATCGATAGCTTGCTCGTTAGTGGAACTGATCGCTCGTTTGTTATAGATACGCTCGTTTCAACACTAGCACATACCCCTAGTTTAAAGTTGCAAAGAGACCATGGTGGAAGTTGAGAGTTCAAAAAATAGATGGCAATTCACGCAATTAGATCGCTAGCCCATTATGATGTTCTACTGACCGATCCTGAAAGGTGCGTCCAAGCTGCTGTGTGTTGATTGCTAGTCGAAGGCGAAGGTTGGCGTTGTTGAAGATATCCACGACCGGGTTCTTCTTGAATTCAAAGCCGCGTGACCTGGCTTTGGCTGGCGTTGCGAAGCCAAACGTCAAATTCTCAAGCGAGTCATCAGATCGTGAGGCGTTCCAGGAGTTGTAATCGTTGGATGAGATGTTGTAGCTGCAAATGCAGGCAAAGAAAACGCCGAGCAGATTGACATGAGAAGACCTGGAGTGCATATTGAAGGGGAAGTTAAGGCAAAAATCAAAATTTCACCAGTTGTAGTCTTCGGGGTGCTGAGTCGAATGGTCTTGGTCCGAGAAAGCTGAGACGCTCCCTTCCTACTTGAATCTCAATCGAACTCGCGCACTTCCACTGAAACTGGGTGACTGCGCCCTACTAGATGGGGATTTGTATGCAAAATGTCACTAAAAGCGCCATTTCGTTCTTATAAAAGCACGGATGACCGCGATTGGCCCATATGTTGTAGTCTTTTGGACGCTGAGTCGACTGGTTTTGGTCCGAAAAGGCTGCGATGCAGCGTTCCTCCTTTATTCCCAATCGAACATGGTTGAAGAAGCGGTCACGTGCTCCTGGGTGCCCAAATCACCTGGTCACCACGCCAGCAGGCAACAACTTTCACACCAAGGTTCAACTCGAGTTAAACTCTAGTGACAGGAGTGCACCCAAAAAAGGTCAAACAGGCTAGTAAGTTGTACCCTGCAGGCACGGTGACCAGGTGACTGGTGTACGCAGGAGCACGTGACCGCTTGTTCAACCATGTTCGATTGAGAATAAAGGAGGAACGCTGCATCGCAGCCTTTTCGGACCAAAACCAGTCGACTCAGCGTCCAAAAGACTACAACATATGGGCCAATCGCGGTCATCCGTGCTTTTATAAGAACGAAATGGCGCTTTTAGTGACATTTTGCATACAAATCCCCATCTAGTAGGGCGCAGTCACCCAGTTTCGGTGGAAGTGCGCGAGTTCGATTGGGATTCAAGTAGGAAGGGAGCGTCTCAGCTTTCTCGGACCAAGACCATTCGACTCATCACCCCGAAGACTACAACTGGTGAAATTTTGATTTTTGCCTTAACTTCCCCTTTAAACACATCAAGATCAAATATTCCAGGACTCACCGGATCCTGAAAGCACAGTTATCGGCCTCCACATTGTCCGGCACAGTCCAGTGGAACGTGTTTGGCTGGCCGCCCATACCGTTACCTAGGTGATTGTCGCGCGACCATGGCGCTTCATGGCAAGCGGGCGCGGGCATGTTGTGGGCGGGCACTTCGATCCACTGAGCGGCGAGAGACTTGCTTTTGTTCGTTTGCGTTGGGTCATCCGGTGGGACGATAATGGTGCACTTCGATCGGCGGTAGAAGGACAACTTGGTAACCCAAGCTTGGAACGACGTGTAGTTGTAGGACATTTGCTGTAAGCAACGAACAGGAGACAAGCACCAAAGGACAAAGTCAATGAAAACTGATCATCGCATACAGTAGAACTTCAGTGCTGCCTAGTATTCTGAACTACTAGAATATTATACACACCTGAAACGATACAAAATATTTATCATAGCACGCTCAAAGCAAGTTTGTACAAAGAGAGGATGGTGGTAAATGCCAAGGCACCAGAGCAAAGATAGCAGCAGTAAGCGCCCCATGTCCCCTGTCGGAATATCATGCTCTAACAGGTTGCTCACCTCGCACACTGTTTGGCTGAGCGGCGCAGGGAAGTAGTGCGGACTGGGCTGGTTGATGATGAAGCTGCGAAACAGGCTGCTGTCCAGACTCTGGCAGCGTGTGAACCAGTAGTGAACGGGACCAGGCAAGCTGCAATAGCCTCTCTTCTTGACGTTCTGACTCTCTTGCTGATAGTACTGGCAGCGAGCAACATCATTCGTCAGAACGGCTATATCCTACGCAAGGAGAGAGAGTTTAGCACAGTACATGCTTCAGTACAAGAGCCTGCAACTACACAGCGTTGCTCAATGAATGGAACTCGGAGTATTGTGCAAGGCAATGATCTTCAGGCAGCAATACTAGCACTGTACAGTTTACATCCCTACATGCTGTCATGTACAAAATAAAAATAATTAATTGTGCCGTCATGTCCACACACGCACACACACACACACACACACACACACGCGCACACACACACACACACACACACACACACACACACACACACAGCTTAGCTTACCTTCCATTGACTCGGGTTCCAGTACGGATAGTAGTCTCGCTCTTCCGGACATTCGTATCCATAGCGAGCTCCAGTCGGATTCTGGCGTGTGTACGTGGCCTCAAAACGAGCTTTATCCTGCAAACGTCGGAGCTAGAATACAAAGTCGTGGAAAGTGGGCAAGTGAGAACAGTGTGTCAGCCATATACACATCTGTAAAGAGAGCACGAACCTGAAAGTGAGAATAGAGGCATGCTTTCTACACCGAGAAGAGGCGTCCTTTCACCAGCGGAGAGGGCTCAGAGCACGGCGAAATGGAGCACTATTGCACACGCGGGCACAAAGGAGGTTTAACCAAGAGTTTGTCGCGACTCCAAGTTTCTTGCTAAATGCAATCATCAGGCAACTTGTGACACGTGGGCATGTTTTCTACTGTAGCCACCGTACTGTTCTGCAGCAACTAGTGGAGATCTGGACAAGGTACACGGTATGCAGGCCATCTCCTCACCTCCGAAAAGGTCAACCCCGATGCAGGCCGTATACATGTGTGATAACTTGCTGCGCGTGGCCTTCAATATACACTCCCCAGGCAAGATCCTGGGTCCGGCATTGCTAGGGAGTTCAACACACTTCCCACTGGTGTGCGGCAATATGACAGCAGGGTTCAATTTTCATAAGGATACCAAGCTCTACGACTCGTACATCTACACTTGCAGCAGAAAGCCACACGGGGGGGTACGTACCCATGCCGTCTTGTAGATTTCCTGAGCGGAGAAGACGTTACCACGCTCAGTAGCCTTGCAGCGTAAGTAGTCGTCTAGGTGCTCGTGCATACCGTACCTGCAGAATATATCAACATCACACAGCCACAGTCACTCAGTGGTGTGTTGCTCAACCTCCGTGACAAGCACATGGGGCAAAACACTAGCCGAGCCACACTGTATCAAAAGAAAAATGACAGTTCAAAAACAGAGCTGCTCACTAGGAAGATCTTGTTGTCACAGGACTGTCAGGCACCAGTCGTCCTATCCAGTGATGTGACAATTATTACATCAAAGAAGAATAAGATGCCGTGCAAACGTCCTTGAAATCGTGCATTACGGAAACCTGTGATCTCTTTCCTTGCCAACTGCCTGTCCTGCTTTATAGTGTAACTATATCATCCTGGCTATTCAATCCTCCCTTAGTCACATGAACAGACTCCTCTGACTATGAATTGATGAAGTTAGACTGAATGCTCTGCTCCTTATCATCCTGGTATCTATGTGGCATGCGTCTGTTACTGATTATTCAGTGTGTTTGTATTGCCGTTCCCTTTCCTATATCTTCTTCAAGCATGTTCGCCGAGTCCCTTCAATTTGATCTATCTTTCACTCTGCGTTTGCTCGGGGTATATCAACTCCAACCATTCTTTCCGCTGTTATCGCCTCACCCGCGGTGCATACCATAACGTTGGTAGGGTTGGCGTGTAAGTCGGTGTGACCATTGGATTCTTTCTGGTGTGTTTCTCTGGAGTGAATAAGACAGCATAACAATGAAGCACCCTATCGTGTACTCACCTGTGATCATCCGTACAGTCAAAGTCTCTGCACGGCGAAGGGTTGAGAGGAATAGTGCCAACGACCGATCCATCGCGCAGCTTATCGTGACACATGTACTGGATAATGATCTCACAGTTGTTGTTCTCGTCGGCGCATGAATGCCCGTTTGTCCTGAACCGGCGGCAGACATGACAGTACCCACACATACCCAGGCATGCACACACACACACGTACGCACAATATTAAATAATGAAGTCCAATCGTACTGTCCGCCAATCAGCCTCCGTCACCAGAACAGAGACAAAAATGGCCATTTAGCAAGAACTTGCTGCTGTTGACAAGGCAGTGAAAAATTGCCAGGGCCCTTGGGCAGCTCAGAGAGTCATTGCAGAAAGTAATTTTTTCTCTATTTATTATTGGCTCAACATCGGACTTTCCTAAATTACTCTGTTCATACTTGATGCCGTACATGTAGATAGCAGTCAGATCAGCACAAAGTTACAAACACTTGCATACCGCTGGGTAATAAATAACCCCAGGCAGAGCTCCTACTCAGGCTTGAGCAGAAGACAGAAGACAGTTATAACCACCGGGACACTACATTCACTATGGTATTGAGATATACTATTGACCCTGCCACTTGATTCAATAAAATCCACAGATTTGGGCTAAATTTGGAATTTTCAGTGGAGCCCCCCCCCCCCCAAAAGTTAATTGCACTTCAGATGGCTGACTGTACAACCCCAAAATGCGTTCTGTTAGTGCCGATACCTCTAAACCGCTCTACAAATGATTGCTCACATTCATCCTGCATTGCCGATTGGATGTGTTCCATAAAAAGACAAGCCGCCTAGAAATCATCCGAAATCCCACAATGTAATAATTATTGCTTTTGCAAAGGTGCTCAAAGAAAGAGGTGACGTACCACTCGAATGTGACAGGAGATTTCTGATAGTAGTAGGTATGTCCAACGTTGTAACCACCACGGTTGTTATTCTGAGAGTTAAACATCCTGAAGCACAGAACACACACAGCACGGGAACATGCAAAAGGCGAAAACACATTGATGAACCGAAAAGGGAACTTCAGCACGGACTGCACCTGGCACGAGTCCCTTGTCAACGATGCTTGAACGCTGCAGGTATACTGGTGGCTTAGCTCCATGCCAACAATTACCATATAGGTATACTCATACCTTGGTTATCCGGACCCCGAAATTACGGGCACTTCGGTCTACCGGGCACCCTTTGGGTGAGTTTCAGTGGAAATATTACTACTCTTATATTATAATATTACTACTCTTGTCACTTTTTGTTGAAATAGCGATGTCATAATGTTATGCCATATCTATGACATTTCCCCATAAAATGAATGTGAATCGCAGTTACGAACATTTCAAAGTTACGGGCAGTGCTCGGTCCCGCACCGCCCGGATAAGCGAGGTGTGAGTGTAATACGGCATGCATAACAACACCAGATCTATGTAAAGTAAATCCCAGCATCAAGAACTGAGCAACGATGCATTCAACTACGTAATCAATGCATTAAAGAGTTCATAAAGTTCGTGTTCAACTCATGTGGATCAGATGTGTTCTGGGTGGCTTCCTAATCAGTTCCTATCATTGGAATCCTTTTATTTTGTCTATTGACTGAGTGTTGAGAATGAGGATTTGATTACTTTAAGGGATCCTGTGCTGATGCGAGTTTTGCAACACACCTCTCAACTTTACCCACTGGCATTCAGGAAAGCATACCTGATAAGAGAGAGAGAGAGAGAGAGAGAGAGAGAGAGAGAGAGAGAGAGAGAGAGAGAGAGAGAGAGAGAGAGAGAGAGAGAGAGAGAGAGAGCACACTTATGCAGAGCTGCCAACCAACAGGGTCTGTTTTGTACACTCGGACTACTGATTTCCGTCTTTTGCATTTCCAACAAGAATGGCAATGTCGAGGTTCGCTTCTTGGTTCTTGGACCTGAAGGATGTGGACGACAGCGCCACAGAGGGAGTACTAGCGTGCATTGACAGCACGTTGAGTGAACTTGGCTAGGATGACTGGAAGAAGCAGCTGGTAAGCCTGTGTGTGGATGGTGCTGCTGTCAACCTTGGTGTTCGACGTGGTGTTGTAGCATGCCTTCGTGCTGACATGCCGTGGCTAGTAGGTGTGCACTGCTTTAATCATCGCTTGGAACTTGCTGCCAAGGATGCCTGTTCCAAAACGTACATCGATGACATCACAACCATGCTGACGAACATTTATCTTGTCTACCACAAGAGCCCCAGGAGGCTCCGTGACATGCAGCGCTGGCAACAGAGCTGGAAGAAAATGTCGTCACGCCGGAAAAGGCGCATGGCACCCGGTGGCTGCAGCACAAACGCAACGCCATCAAAGCTCTTCTCCGGTTTTACACAGTCATCATCCAACACCTGCAAGAGCTGTCAGCAGGTAACTCAGCTGATTCTGCACGCTTCCGGGGCTACCTATAGCAGTAGCTCAAGAGCTTCAAGTTTGAATCTAATCTGTTGCTCTACGACACGATCTTGACACCATAACTTTCCTTTCTTTTCTTTTCTTGCCGTGGTTGGCTATCACCCCTCTCTCGCACTTTGCGTGCCAATCGGTCATGGACCACGAGTTGAGTAAAATAAAATAAAATAAAATAACTAAACTGCACTGTCTCTCAGCCTACAGTGCAGTTCTGCTGACGTCCAGTTCGCTACCTCGAGTCTCACCTCCTGTCGAGCAATGATTGAGCACCTCAAGACAGACGATCTCCTGGGCCACTCTCAGCTTTCAGAGCTTCTGGTTGCTCTGGAAGCTGACCAAGAGGTGTTACCCAAGGGCATCAAGCTCAGCGGAACGCAACAGGCTACCGTAAATGCCTTGCATACTGCAAGAATAAAATTATGCTTCATCCATGGATGCCTGCCTAAGGCAGAGGTTCAATGATCTTGTTTGGCGCGTACGAGCGGTGTTGATACCAAGACCCTTGGTCAGTTTAGCTGCTTCCGCCCCGCCTCAGCTGCTTCGGCTGCCATCTTTATATGCCTCCCTGCTATCTCTTGCTGGCGTTCGCACTATGCCGGTTTGTGGCTATCTTGAAAAAATATAATAATAATCCCAAGCAGCTAGGCTGTGAAGATTTTGAGCTGTAGCACATGGCCGGAAGATGCTGATGCACTTAAGGCGTTTAGGCACAGAGGTGGCGCTTGCGGTTTACAAGCACTTTGTGGCCATGCTTCCTAATGACGTGGAGCAGGACAGCATTGTTTCCGAGTGGGATGCATTCAAGTCCTTCTGGAAGTCCAGTTGCTCGCCCCTGCCCAGCCCGAAAGTCTGGTCAATTTTGGTGTCAAAGTACCGAGAGCACTATCCCAGCTTCTGTCGCTTGGTGGAACTGTTGCTGATTTTACCTGTTAGCAACGCCGTTGTGGAGAGAGAATCAGCACAATGCGCCGCATTAAGACCGACTGGAGGTGCTGCTTGGGTGCGTCAACCCTTGACAACCTCATGCGAATCGCTCTGGAAGGCCCCAAGCCGTCCAAATTTGATGTAACGCCTGCACTTGGTCGGTTCACGTCAGTACCACGTCGTCCAAAATGTCCAGCCATACAAGAGGAAGCACATCATCTTGAGCAGTTATGAATCTGGTGAAAAGTAATTTGCTGTTGAACTTACTTTTCATGATTGATTCATCACAAAGTCCACATTGCTGTGCAGCAGAGATTGTGTCTATAACATTTAACTTTCATTTTACTAACTTTCATTTTTTTTGGTTCCGTGCCTCTAATGATAACTGAAATGCGAAAGTTGCAATTGTTATGGTACATGTATGTCTACCGAAAATAAATATTTAAATAACCGACGAGGAGACAACAGTCGTAAAATAGCAATGAAAAAACCATTCTCAGATACACTGCAAAGGTTCACACTTCACGCGTTATGCATAACCGCTAGCTGTGCTGCATTCTCACGCTTCTTTTCATATTACTCTAGCTATATAACTGGTTGTTTTAGTGATTCTTACTATGTGACGATGTTCCACTGATGATGGTCACACGAAAACGTTCTGGAATTGTTTCATTTTAATTGTTTATACATGGTTTTGAGTGCACAATTGAAAATAAATATGCGCCGAATATTTGTTGACTTACAGTACGTGAAATGAGGTATGAATCGGCCTTTAGGCTTTACTGTAGTCAGGTAGTAAACGGGGCCAGGTCGGTTTATTGTATGTCTTATTCGGAAAGCTCCCATGTGTAGGCAGGGATATCTATATCTCTTATAGCCCATATTTGGCACACTCTGGGGAGTTATAAGACTATACCAAATATGGGCTATACCAGACCTGGACCTGGCATAATCCAGCGGCAGATGCAGGGCCGAACGTTCGAACGGCAGGGTGAGGAGATAAGTCTCACAACCAGTGACACACGTGTGGAAAGTCCCATTAGCCATAGAATACAAGACAGGAGTAAACCAGTGGTCACGCTCTTTGTCATTTGACATTTGGTCCAATTGCCTCTTGGCTCTCTAGCGGACAGTTGAAGAAGTCACGAGTCCTCTTTTCCAATGATCAGACAAAAGAATAAGAACCTCTGAGCCCATCAAGCTCTACTTTGCACGTGAGTGCAAACAGGAAAAGTCTGCTACGACACATGTACATGTACATGTCCTTTAGTTCAGGTGCTGTTGCAAGCTATCAGCTAGATGGTACCTGTACAGATGTCTGTTGCATGCCTGCCATGTGCCTGCCATGAACTGCATGATTGTACTACTCATGGCCACCTAGCACAACTATACAGCCATGTACTAGTACATGTACATGACATTGTACAGTTGTCCTCCGTGAAATCCGACCCAAAGTGCATATCCGGCGCCCTCAACTTGCACGGCCCTTGACGCCCTGGAAGTGGTATGAATGCCGCGGCTGAACGTACACATGCACAAGAACAGTGATGTAATCGGAACTGGTCCAGGGCGCCAGTTTGGCACTTTGGGTCGGATTTCGGTGAGCGCAACTGCGTATTGAAATCAATGTAGACCTATAAAAATGCTATTGCATCCATTGCAATTGCCATTAGCCTGCTGCAGCACACTGACCTGTTTGCATTGTTGCGATTTCTACCAGCTCCGTTCAGACGATTATTACTGCCCCTGTATTGGTGAAACACACACACAGGGGCACGCCCGCACGCACGCACCCACGCACCCACCCACACACACACACACACACACACAGAAGGCAATCGAGTTAGGTATCGAGTACTGGTGGTCGGGTGATTGCTAACTTGCTATAGCAGCCAACGGAGCGAGAGAGAAAGGTTTTCATTGAACAGCTGACTGTGAGAGGAGGACTGAGACTTAGCGACACTACCGGCAAGTTATTATCAAGAATTGATGGCCATGGAGCTACGAGACTCTGCGCCGCTTGTCTATCCATGTGGAGGCAAAGCAAACGCGGGTAACACTTTTGCTGAAGCGAGCATAGAGCTGAAGCTGGACAGATGACCGTCGTGCCTGCTGTTTACTCCACAACTCCGGCATAATGACTACGTACACGGCTTCGTACTTGCTCACCTCCAAATTCAGGTAAAGTTTTTTTCCCCGAATAACTTCGGGAAATTATCATACACGACCCACACACAGCAATTGTTGGTTGGCACCACAGGGTAACTGGGCGAAGGAGCTGGCAGTGTGTAACGATGGAGGCGGCCGACCCGACAGAGGCAGGGACCGAGAGTGAGACCGAAATAATAGAGTGATTTGGGAGAGTAGAGAGAATGCTGCCAACACTGAACATGACATAACTCTGTGGGAGCAACCCCCCCCCCCCCCCCCTCTCATTCCAGGTTTTCGGTACGCTCCTAGATCCTGCTACCAGTTTGAAAGTAGGAAAGTTTGAATTTTATAAAACTATTGTCTTGTGCGTTACCTGGGCATATGAAGATAAACATTACTGCTGACGAGTTGCAACAAACTAATCAGCACAGTGGTTGCACAGATAAACGCTCGTGAAATACGTCCATTGACATTGGAGACAGCCATTACGCGTCGCAACAGGTCTCCTGGTCTTCCTCGGCCTCAGTCCTAAACTAAAAGTCAAAGTGCTGGACTTATTTGGACAGCTGGTGTCGAAACCAACGACGTGTGTGTTACCGGTATACTCTTTTGCTGACAAAGTGATCACTGTGACTACCCGATTCCATTGGAGAAAGTCCAGAACTGAGCAGCAGCACAGGATTACCGACGTAGAATACTCAGTAGTCGATGTTGCAGAGTCAGAAGATTTCCAGAATGGAAGAATAAGATATCTTTGCCTACACACTATTCTCTACAACTACAGACTACACATGCCAGGCCCATGGCTTTTGAAAAGGTTGATCGGGTAGGGGAACGCCACAAAATCGAACTCGGATCCCCCGCGGACCAGAATCAAACTGCAAACGCCCGAGTCCAGACCTCCAGAGCTACACATCGTCACCATGGTCACATACTTGTACCGTACGGTCACCATGGTCACCATGCACAGTTTGCAATGTCATGACGTTACGTCACGCAACAAATCCACGCAAAATCAAGGATAGGTTGCCGTTTTGCGCGGTTCACCGACATCTTTGCGCGACGAGGTTTGTTTGTCCATCTGCCATCTCTATTTTCTTGCAAGTAATTCTCCTTCGAGCTTCTTCGCGAATGGATTCTACGGAATGCTCTGTGGATGTCCAAGATGGAATGGCAACCATTGAACTTGCCTGTGTGCCTGACGACGTGTTGAAACAAATTGAGTGCAATGACGATGGAATTTATACAGTATCACTAGCTGCTTCAACACTTGGCCAAGATGATGATGCCGTGGATGGTATTGGCGATCGCTCTGCAGTTGGATCTGCTCAAACTCGGGGTGATGAAGCTGCTGATGCTTCACAAGCGCATAGCATACGTTCACAGAATGGTATGCATAGAGATGTGCAATATGCAGTTCGAATGGACAAAACACGCACAACACGTCCCCTTAACGACCTGAGTGGAGTATACAGCAGTCTGAGTGACTTGCGGCGTGACTTTGGACGGTGCTTACAAAGCCTGGAGATAGTGGCTGCGGATGTGAGCATCGACGATGCGTCCTTTCTCTTCGGCTACATTCGGCCTGGTCATGGCTCGAAGGGTCAGAAAGTCAATGTTGCCGACGACGAGGATTTATCAAATATGTATGAAGTGTGCCGTAGCCGCCGAAATCACATCTTGCTTTGGTACTCGTTTTGCAAGGATCCCAGTTCACGCCCTGCTGATTTATCCGCCATGCTCTCGCCCATGTCCAATGGGAAGCAACGGCGAAGCGGCTCTCCGTCCCCGGTCAACAACAAGCGGCGACGCCCATCGCCCAAAGTCCATCCAGGGGCCGATACTGTTGCAGCTTCCATTCTGAACGGCACGCCGATGGCGAGTGCCGCGCAAGACTCCGTCGTTGCTGGCCACAGTCCACACGATGCAGCGGCGGTGGCACCAGCAGCGATGTCCGTCGGCACCGTGCCGGCAATGTCCATGTCGGCCACAGCACTGCAGGCGGCACTGGAGCAGAACCATCTCATCCAGCGTGCGGCGATGGCAGCCACGACGAGTGGGGCGCGTGGCGACGCGACCCTGCTCGGCTTCAACGCGCTGGCTTCCACCTTGTCGCATGAGCAGCGAGAGCACACGATGGCCGCCGCCGGCAGCAGTGTGTCTTCACAGCTGCTCGCCACGCCGCTGGTCTCGGCGCCGTCGTCCACTCCCCTGTCACCGATTGTGCAGCAAAGTAGCCTGACTTTGCCAGTGGCCGCAGGTGTGAATGGTGATGCCACCGTCACCGGCACTGCTGCTCTCACTGACCCGGGCAGTCACAGCATCACACCCCCAGCCGCGGAATCCCTCCTCTGGCCACTGCACCTGTTCAAGGAACGCGTTGAAGTGCGCAAAATGCTCATCCAGCAGCTACAGGACTGGAGTGCACTGAGGCAGTCTGATGTTATCACCGAAGACATCTATGCCACCCACAAACAGAAGATCCTGGCTGACTTGGATCGTCTGTAGGCTCGCAGGGGCACTTTTCTGTTTGATGGATAGTTTTGGTTTCGTGCCAAGTTGTCTGCTTACCCATCATTGGCAGGTGTGTTTGTGTGTGCATGTGCTTGTTTGTGTGTGTGTGTGTGTGTGTGTGTGTGTGTGTGTGTGTGTGTGTGTGTGTGTGTGTGTGTGTGTGGTTCACATGGGCATTCGCTTCCAGATGCGCTGATACGAGTAATGCAAGTACAGGCGGCGTGGCTTTGCGGCTCATCCTCGTCTAGATGGCTGTTTGTATCCATTGCATTTCGCTGTCGATCAATATCACCAGATTTAGTCCTTGAAGTAATGCCAGGGCTTGATTTTTCATAAACTTCCGTGCTTATTCCGATTTTCAGCAGCTGCTGTGTTTTTGTGTATAGCTCTTTTGTAACCATGGCTGTGAGACATGACGTCATTTGCACAAATGTTTTGCCGATTTGAAATGTTCGCCAATATCCTGGTCACACATTGCTGCTGCTGCAAAGGCTGTGACCCGTGCTGCTAGCTGTAATCCTGTCAGAGTGTCTATTCTCAAGCAAACCCGCTCTGGGGCCCATCATTATGTCGTTTTTCCACCCGCCCGCCGTAACGTTGAAGCCACTCTTACTGGCCTATAATGATCTATTATTACTTTGCCCTCTTTTAGTTCCCAGGCAATCACAACATTTGAATATCTGTCATAGCACTAATATGAGTAATACCGATGAGATTCCGAGAGCACCCTTGAGAACTGCTTGCTCTCTGTTGTTTGCCACCCTGGTTGCAACGCACCGACTTGTACGTGGAAGCACGGTGAAACTTCTTCTGTGTAGCGTGCCTCCCCGGGGACATACGAATTTGTACTTTATAGCTGCGAGGTACCTCGCAGGTCAAACGACTGAAAAAGCATGCACACGATCCTCGAAAAAGTATATGATTCAAAGAGAAAACGTGCAAGTATGTGATATCCAGGGTTCCACACGAGACACAGAGCACCTCACATCTTCATTGCAACTATAAGTACCGTATTATCTCTAATACAAGCACAGTCTCCAATAATAGCACGTCTCCAATAATAGAACACCTTGGGGCGGCATTCAAAAAATAAAGTGCTCAGTCTCCATTATAAGCACACTGTGTAAATTCATTATCTGTACCGGCGAAAACACCCTGAAATGTGTGTATCTGACATGAATTTGGCATGGCAACATGCCTCTGAAATGAGGTTGAAATAACAATGGAACAGTCTCCAATAAAGGAACGTCTCCATTAATAGCACGGGGCGGAGGTACATTGAAAAAATAAAGGACCGTGCTTATATTAGAGATAATACGGTAGTAGTTGTAGTAGTAGTTTCATGCCCTTATTAAGTTATTATGTAGACAATCATCATACAACTGAACCTCATGGTTCTTTATACTGAACTCTTTCACTGTACGAGAGTGACACGAGCGGCATGCCGTAGGATGAGACTGGGCTAAGCACCATAGATATTCATGCCGCATACCTGCATGATCATCGTATGCGCGGAAATGCCCGGGAGGTGCATTCAGACAACAGTACTTTCCTTAGCCTACTCCGGGCAAGTTGGGACAGAGTGCTGCCTGTAACTAGGAACGTTTTTTTTGTTGAAAAGCCACTGTTGTGACTCTAGATGGGTCAGAAAGGTGCCCAGCGGACAGATGTGACTGGACCAAGGGCGTCCGGATTAGGACTTTGAAGTTTTACTGTAATCATGGCTTCTTACTACCCTTATGGCTGATACTCGTGTGAACCTGTGATGCCTGTAACAGGTCCTGCATGCAATGATTTATTGATTTACCTACCGATCTGTCGCCTATCTGCCGGTTGATAATGCAATGAATCCGAGCTCTGTCGCAGTGCGTTTCCTAAGCCGGGCCTGCAGGTGTTGTATTGTGTTTGGTCCAACCATTTCATCGATTCTGAGGCACCTGCGGCATGCAAACAGTGATGAAACATGACTGGTGCTGAATATGACCGTGACCATGGTGACAGTGCCTGGTGTACTGTCTGACCAGTATAATTATGATAGTTTAGCCACGTAGGCTAGCCGCTTGTTGAATCAATACCGGGGTATGTAGACTCTATACTTCACTACCGTAGAATCCCGCGGATAAGCCCATGGGCTTATCTGTTTCACAAGGACATTTCGGTGGGCTTATACGAGAACATGGGCTTATACGCGGGAATGGGCTTATACGCCGACACCAAGTTGTGCTATTGAAAAGTATCAAGGAAGTGAGAAGTACATTGCTGAAAACCACTGTGCAAACAGAAACAACCGATGATTGTGCTGAAATGTACGAAGAAAAAACTATAATGTGCATTGTACTACGTACATGGTATGGCCAAGAGTCCATAATTTATGGACCCCTCGGTATGACCTAGGCCCATGGGCTTGTACGATGAAGCTTTGTGATGTTCGAACCTTGAAAACCCTGGGCTTATGCGCGGGCATGGGCTTATACGCGGGATTCTACGGTATGCCTTTAGGATAATTATAGGCCGGTTGAATACCGTACTGTTAGTATTGCAAACTTGCAAGTTCGTCCATTTGCCACACCCGGGCCGCGATCACTTTTGGACTGCTCGGCTCGCACGCATGCCACAAGCAGTGAAAAAATTCATCAACCTGGCCAACATGACTGGTCGAGCATGGATTATTGCTAGTAAGGCTGTGTTTATGTGAGGATTTTCAACCCGGGTCGAGTTCAACCCGGGTTGAAAGTGTATACGATGGAAAAAATGGGTGGGTGTTTACATGAATACAGTTGACCCGGGTCAAATACTGATATGCCGCCAAAAGTCTACTTCTAGAGTCCTGTATGGTCACGTGAATACTTTTGCGCAAAATTTGACTGTGCACTGCTATTCAAACCTGGCGCGAGATACACATAGAAGTACATTAGTACGATTTTCTCACCTCGGGTTGATTTCAACCCTCCCCTTGTGTGTGTGTGGGGGGGGGGGGTTGAAATCAACCCGGGGCAAAATTTCAACCCGGGTCAAGCGCAATGCGTCATGTAAACGCGCCATTCATTTTGTGTATTTTGAAGTACATGGCGGGTTGAAATCTGACCCGGGTTGAAACGCCTCATGTAACGGGGGCGTCGCACACGATACGGTCACTACGGTATTGACCGTACCACTATTTGCCTCAAGTACCCCGTAGATTAATAAAATGCACTGATTTGGACTGTAAACTTCCAAACTTTTCGACTCAGCCATCCCTCCCCCACGAGTAAATTGTACTTCAGATGGCTGACCGTACCACACTAAAATACCTTCTGACGCCCCTGTGTAAACACGTATCTAATACTGACTGAGTACGAGGTCAATATGAAATAAAAGCCGAGTAAAAGACCGAGGCGAAGCCAAGGTCTTTTACAAGGTTTTTATTTCCTATACTGACCAAGTACGAAGTCAATATTAGATTTATCACGACAAACAGTAAGTATTTCAAATTCCAGAACGATAACCTCATGAGTCCCGGTTTTATGATTGCACACCACCACCTACTCATGCAGTGACAATGCTGCACTAGGCACCGTTCAACTGCGCAACCCCTAAGCAGTCAAATATAAGCAGTCAATACAGCCCTAAGGAGTGAAATATGCAGGAATATTTGACTGCTTAGGTATAGCGAAAATCAATGGGAGTCAATACTAAGAGAGTGATAACGCCTATTAATAATTATCATGATTATTGCAGACAATCTCATGATCTGATACATGTACGTAAACAGAATCCGTGACACCGACGACCGGGGTCCGTGCATGACACAACGACCAACAATGCAACATGACACTCAACTCTCAACTTCTCTCACTCAAGTCAAGACAACGCTGTCTTGACTTGAGTGATGTAGGTCTATCGTGTTGTAGTCCTAGTACTGAGTCTGTATCATGCTCTCATAGCAACAGCCCCGTGTCCCGCTGTGTTTTCAACCAACTCTGTTCCACACCACTTCCGAATCCATTCATTGCCATGCGATACAGTATCCGATCGATCGACGAAGTCACAGAACTGATTGTACTTTTGCTTTTTAGTTTTGTCCGAAGGCTTCTGGTAAGCTCATCAGATGAGAAGCAATTGCGAAATACCATTGCGGTCTTGCGAAGTCACACAGGGTAGCAGATTAGGACTAGCGTCGGAGCGGCGCCCGCTCCTATTCTCTAGCTGTTCGCCTTCTGGCAGCTCAGGCGAGAACTGGGGAGGATAGTGCGGTAGATGGATTCGACTACCGAGGCTGATTTCTGGGAGAAACTGGGAAATCTGCGACACCGACTACACGAGGAGGTACTTCATTCTACCCGGCTAATTTCCCTCGAACGCATAATTACTACAACTTACAAGTCATGTACTTGTTATTATGTATTGTACTCACAAGATGTGGCGTACCACATACTCCATAGCGGCATTGCTCAGCAGTCCTTTTCGCACTGGTTCCGCTCAGAGTGGTGCCATTATTTTGCTGCTCTCCCGAGTCCTACACACTCAACGCACCACAACACAGTGACAGTAGTAGTAGTCTTTCGTGCACATTCAGCAATACTGCCATTACCGGGCCAATACAAGTTTTGAACGTGCCAAAGTTTAGAGCAAACCAGCTGTCTCCCAATTACTCTGCAACCAGCCAACCCATTTCTGTCAGGTTTGCAGTGGTGTGCAAGCCCACATACGACCAGTTATTATGAATAGTGCTATGCAACAACACACTGTGGTGAAAAAAACATGAATAAGAAACGGTATCAACACCAACCTCCACGGTAACCAGGTAAAGGTGCGGTGGTAAATTCATGTGAGCCAATATTCATACCATGACTGTTTCGACTTTGGTAGTATGCACACTCAAATGCTCAGGTCCACAGTGCTGCCCAATGACAATGACTGTCATTATGTAATCGATCCACCGCCTGGTAGCTACTGGCCAATGCTATCGGTGTTAGTGACAGTGCTGGCCATTATGCAATTGGTTTCAGTGACGGTGCTGGCCAATGTAGTTCGCCTGCATTCCAGCATGACCAGTTCAGTGCCACATTAGAGCAGTGCAGACTAGCTAGTGTTTGTAGCGCTAAGGCCATGCAGAGCCCACTGCACTATTCTTCTCATGGGCGGGTGAGATTTTCGCTTGTCGGCACTGTAACTATGCCGTGGTTGAGATGTATCGCTAACCCAGGCATCAAACCATGCACTGAAAACAGGCGCAGTTGTGGAATTCATACCAATGATGAAAGGGAATGTAGGGCTAGGCCTTATGATAAGGACGAGTCAAAGGCAGGTAGCTCAGTTTGAGCCAAAAGCATTGCCAGACGGAAATTTTCTCCTGTATGTCCATCATTTGCGAAGGAGGAACAATTGCGTGTGCAGAAGGAGGCTATCCGTGCACAGCGGACTCCGCAACACTGGACGACCTCACGGAATCAGCCACACGTGGGCGCTGGCAACAGTGATGTGACCAGAGGGGCAGTGACTCGCTATCGCCATAGTGATACACGGGTGCACGACTCATCCAATGCAGGTACAGTGAGTGAACATGAAATGTACAATAGAGAGGTTAAGATGCACGTTATTTCCGACGCGACGCGCAATTTCACGTCAAATTTGGCATAAAGCTCCAAATTTCGACGTGAGCTGCAGGTCACTCGCATTGTTTTTCGACGCGCGAGCTAAAATAACGCGAGCTGAACTTTCGCGTCACGTCAGAAGTGACGTGCATCTTAACCTCTCAAATAGAGCACTCAGTGTCACCTGGTACAGGACACCATACAGGGCATGCGCTAAGGATTAAAATGTGCTCTGACACAATGTCCTGCCAGTTGAAAAAATGGCCGGACATGTCCGGACATGCAAATTTTCACATCAAATCACACAATGTTCAGTGTAGAATTAATACCATCGAAATGTTATCACGACGTGAAAAGAGCATTATTAAAATTGTTGTAGTTACTGTTTTGCCACTGCGTTTTCAGGTTCCCTGAGCCAACGACGAAGGAGTCAGACAAATTTTTGCTGCTGCGAATTTTATCAACAAAACGGGAACACATCTTACACTTCAAATTTTTGACAACGCTACGATCTGAGGGACTGCGCTCATAGCTCAGCCAAACAGAAGTTGAAAGCTCCCTATCATACTTGGCGACCCACTTGTCACAAGTGGTCGCCTTGACTCCTCTGGGCTTCTTTCCAAGAGGAGCACCCGCATCAGCAGTGCTTGGCTTTCTCTTGCCAGATGACATCACTAATGACTATGAGACAAAGGATTGACGTGCCTTTTCTTTTTTGTACTTTGCAAAAAAAGTGCGCGGACACTTTGTCCGGATGTGTACAAAACATCCGGAAACTGACCGTAAACGGTCGGATATTGTCCGATGTCCGACCGTTATTTCGCTCCCTGCCATGCATGTACAGCGGATCTGTTATCCGAATTCCTTGAGACTGCACGAGGCAGGTCGGTTCAGTTACTGTATCTCAGAGTTATCTGTAACTACCGTATTTTACCGGTTGTAAGTCGACTTCCAAATTTGGGGCCTCGATTTACCAGTTTAAAAGGGCAGTTATACCCCGGTTGTAAGCAGACTACTCCTTTTTAGGTCGGTTTTTAGGTCATTAAAAGGTAGACTTATAACCGGTAAGATACGGTACGTCAAAGTTAGAAACTTAGCACATGTCAATGCACATACACACGTGAGGTGCCATGCCGGTTAGTTTGTTGACGCACTAAGAATGTGTAAAACCAAAACTCTGTACTGTGGGAACAATTATGACTGTTTCAGTAGCCATATTTTCCATAGCATGATGCCTTCCCAGGCTTTGGATTGCAATCTTTGACCATTCAACATACCGTTTTAGCCCAAAACATGGCATGCACTTGTAGATGTGCATGATTTACTCCAGTGATCAGTTAGTATATCAGCAGGGTCAGGAGGTATGTGAGGCTGCTACAGCAAGTCATTGGATTTTTCCTTTGCGTAACGTTAGCATCTAGAGCCTGCCCCTGAATGTAGCCACCAAAGTTTTGAGCCCACATTATGCCAATACATATGCATACAATATGAGTTACCTTGGAGTAACAAGTGGTTGGGTTAGCACCGTTGTGACCATGTTGTGTCCAATTGATGCCGCGGGGCCCGGTATATAACATGATGTGGTGGTCAATGATTTGATCAGATCTTATGGTCACTCTAGTCAGACAAGTTGCGGCTTGCGTATCTTCTCTACTCGACTCCCTGTTGTCTGCTTTGTGCGTGTGCGTGTGTGCGCGCCCGTGTGTGTGTGTGCGCGCGCGTGCGTGTGTGTGTGTGTGTGTGCTTCAGACTTCGTAATTAAGTCTCTGACTGATCAGCTCGGGGTTCTGGAAGCTCAGCAACAGGAATTGGCACGGAATTTGGAGGTACGACCCTTCAGTAATGCTCTAACAATCTACAAGTACGGTTGAAGTTCAATAACTCGACGGTATTTGTTATGTTTGGAAATCAATCTGGAAATCATTCTTGGTGAACATCTGATGTTTGCAGAAAAAGGAGAGTTGCGTGTGCCGTTTAGGATCTGGAGTAGAAACACTATGCAATCATCCACGCATACCCAGTGATCACACTTTCCAGAATATCTACGACTCGTATAATCTCAGATCTCCATTGTCCCCATTGTCTTTGAACACGCAGTGCATAACGTTTGCTACAAACCACAAGTTCTCAAGTGTGAAAGCCCTTCTCGCTTATGACATTGTATTCATGTTATCGTGACCAATTTCATAGATGTTGGTTGCCTTGTTGCTTTCTCTCCCCTCTCCTCTCACCCAAGCCATTCTGCATAAGCGAAGCTGTGGACGCAGCATACTGCTGCTACACTTCAACGCGGGAATGCGTATAATAATAATTCGTTTCAATGTTGTATCTCGGCTCCGCCGTACCGCTGATGTTACTGCATACTATACGCTATATGCGCTATGTGCTGTTTACTGTATACGCTGTCATGTCATGTTATATATGTGTATGCTTTTCTGCTATACGCTGGCATTTGCATGCTATAAATACAGTCAGTATCGCCTATAGCGTTGGTGTTTGATTTTGAGCATTTTATCACTATAAGCGATATATCACTATGACCGATACTGCATGCAATGTATGCGAGTGGGGTGTCAAACGACTCAGGGCACCGTGCACATACGCACTGCATAGCTGGCTACAGCTCATGTCACACAACATGAGCATTTCCTCACGATGGAGGCATATTTGGCAACTTGTACAAGCAGAACTCACCAAACAAGGCAACACTGGACAAGTTAGTTCTTCACGAAGAAGTAACACCCTGTTCTCCTCTGACACCACTTGATTTTACATCAATCACTATAATCGATGCAAAAATAATGTAACAAAGGTCTTTTGAAAGAAGAATTTGATCACTATAGGCGATATATTACTATAGACAATTGTTACTATACGCGATAACTGTGTATACTTAGTTATGGCAAATGAAAATGAATTTGAGAAATTGATCACTACATCCGGTATATTACTATAGCCGCCAACCTTATAGGCGATACGTACTGTAGCTGGTGATCTTAGTGTTACAAGTAGTTATTATATTGGATCGAAGTCAGATATACTGTTAGAAGAAGTAGTTGTCCTCGTGCCGTGTGGTCGTTCGTTCCTGACAATTTAGAGAGTGCAAGGGTTCTCAACAACGTTATACCTACTGCTCATGTCAAGTTCATTGATTGCAGAATGTAAGTTATATCACTCAGTGGATAGCGAGGCAATGATGTTGACACAGTTGACCTCCGATTCTCTATGCTATCATTTTTTTTTAAATATCTTCAGATATGGCAGCACCGGCAACCTTACCCGCAATCCAAGCAAATTACGCCTCGGGCCAGTGAAGGTATGATGCAACTACAACAACATGTATTCACAAAACACATATAGATTGTGTCCACAACTTGGGACTATCGTCCAAAATCCAAGTATCACTGCGGGTTGCATTATTTGAAGCCCCCCAATCCCTGAAGATAAGACTTCAGTCTCGTTTTGTCTTGCCTTTCTTTACAGATGCGCTGCCAGCATCGCACTTCTTGGTCACCTCCATGCAGCAACAACACACCATGATGATGGAGTTGCTGAGAGATCGCAAGGAGGAGGCACGGCATGCACCAGCTATTCGGTAGGGACAAAGAAAGTTGTGCTACTTCAAAGTATTTACAACACACTGTAATTCAAATGTACTTTCCGGTTTGCTTTTGTGATGATATGTGTCGAGTCAGACAGGAACGGTATGACGTGCCAGCACCTGTGTATCCTATGTTCTATCAGGGAGGCCTGCCTTCAGGTAAGTGTTCTACTGAGCTGGTGTGAATGTACAATGTAGATTGTTTAGAGGAGATGCGACGCAGTCACAGTGCAACGGCTCTGTTTGTGTTTGAAGCGGCTGCAGTGCAAAGCCATTCACCACAAACCTCTGACATCAGTTCTAATCCATGCGGTGGTGTGTGGTGTCCTTCAGTGGGGTCATGACACTTTTTCACCTTTAAAATATCCAACAACAGCCACGTCAAAGGTTTCAAGGCTCGAATGTGCATTCAGATACACCACGCACATATTGCCGAACGAATCCGCTTTAGACAGCAAGTGGTATTGGAAATGTAACGGAATAAACATGTCAGGTTTTCCTTTCAAACTCTTCAGTTGTACTTTCAGCTACTTCGAAGTAGATCTATGGAAATTGCACCGTCAAAGAACTTGAAGTATAATTCCGGAAAAAAAAGGAGAAGGACGAAAATGATAAGGTGGTGGGTTTCACGGTGCAGAAGGATGTCCTACCAACCCACCACTTTAGTCAACTCATCGACAAAAAGTGTTCCTTTTCCTTTTCCGTAATTGAATTGGCTCACCATCCGAGTTCAAATTATAATTCCATAATTATGTCATTTCTACTACTCCAACGGGTGTTCCATTCCTCGATCTTGAACCAAGACTAATGGGCAAAAGCCAGTGCAACAGTATGGGCAGTTCAGTTTGTGAGTTAGGGCCTATTATAATCAGACATGAAACAATTCCGAGGTGAGTATGTCTGTCTGTCACTGTGTTGCTAAAGGGCCACTCTGCCAGCAGTGTCAGCATCCGACGGGACCAGCACCGCAGCAGTATCCTAATCATGCGCAGCCAGTGCCATCACTTGGCACTCATCCACTGCAGCCTGCTGCCAAACCCAATCATACTCGACGGCGAGGCCCCACAACAATTCCAACTTGGCAGCAACCAACTCGTGGAATGGGATCTGAAGGTGAATTGAGGCAATGTATTGACATTGTGTAAGCAGGAAATTCAACAGTCTTAAATTCACTAGTCTAGGGAATGGAAAAGGGAAAAGTGAGAAGAAAATATTGACTGTCATCAGAGACTCACCACCAAGACTATAACCAGGGACCTTCGCTTGAGGCCAGCGATGCTCTAACCACTGAGCTATGGTGAAGCTGTCATCCCAGCAGAGACAGACACTTTCTTCAGACTTCAAACTGCTTTTCTATTATTTAGAATGGGAAGTTACTTGCTTGACTGGTATTCTCCCATTGCTGTATCGGGGCCTGTATATTGGTCTTCTGTTTGAGGTACATTGCACTTATGAAATAAATTATGACGGCATTTTTGGAGGAGTTCTCCATCTCTCTCTCTCTCTTTCTCTCTCTTCTCTCTCTCTCTCTCTTTCTCTCTCTCTCTCTCTCTCTCTCTCTCTCTCTCTCTCTCTCTCTCTCTCTCTCTCTCTCTCTCTCTCTCTCTCTTCTCTCTCTCTCTCTCTCTCTCTCTCTCTCTATCTCTCTCTCTCTCTCTCTCTCTCTCTCTCTCTCTCTCTCTCTCTCTCTCTCTCTCTCTTCTCTCTCTCTCTCTCTCTCTCTCTCTCTCTCTCTCTCTCTCTCTCTCTCTCTCTCTCTCTCTCTCTCTCTCTCTCTCTCTCTCTCCTCTCTCTCTCTCTCTCTATCTCTCTCTCTCTCCTCTTCGTTCACCTGTAACATTGCCTTCTTGAATGCCCATTGTGTTTGATTACCAGATTATGATGTGGATCCGATGTCTGAACCTCACATGATGCCACCGGAACAAGACAGGGAAAGGTTAGTGGTGTGCCGGATTTGCTTCTTTTAACTCCTTGTGTGGATAGTGTATGATAATTACATCCGAATTTATTCGAACTATCTATGTACATCTGCACAACATCCTCATTCATTAGTACATTCTGTTTGTGTGTGTGTGTGTATGTGTGTGTGTGTGTGTGTGTGTGTGCGCGTGCGCGTGTGTGTGTGTGTGTGTGTGTGTGTGTGTGTGTGTGTGTGTGTGTGTGTGTGTGTGTGTGTGTGTGTGTGTGTGCATCCTCTAATCTTTCCCTGCCTTGCACGGACCACACACTGAATTCGTTTACAGAGCACCTAATGCAGGTAAGCAAGCCTCTCTGACATGGACTGATCTCAAACATTGGTGCACACGCTCGTACTATGGTACCATTGTAGAGTCCGGCAATGCATGTAAAAGTGCGGCCTTCACCAAAGACATCTCACCCACGAGTCCAAAGCTGGGCCGCATTTCCATTTCAATTCATCATGCACAGTGCAAACACCCATCCGAGAGCTCCAGAAGCCGTATGAGCTGCTTGGCATTGCTTTCGGTTGACCAGTCTGATTTCTCGTTGGCCACAACTCGAAGAATGAGGGGGGGGGGTCAGCTTCCTAGCCTAGGCCGTTCTTATTTTCTTGTACTGCAGTCTATGCACAGTTGAGTCACCGTGTATACATCGGTATGCTGTGCTTGGTGAGCTCCTAGCCTGTTCGTTCCTCGGCACTCCGTCTTTCTGTACCTGACAGTACCGTACCAGTGTATCACTATGGTTAGAGTTACCGCAATGGCCCATCAAGTGGTCTAAATGACACACTCCATTACAGCACTGCATCTAGAAACACTTTAAGGGCCATTGCAAGTTTTAGCACCATACCACCATACTACTGAAGTGAGTTCAGCGAATTCTGCTGCCTGCTAACTGATGGTATTGTCTTTCTGTGGATGTTGTTTAGCTGCAGCGGCACGATTCAGAAAGGCAATTTTGGCCATTTGCATACTTTTGTATTGGAAGACGTACCCGGAAAAGGTACGGCGATGCATGGTAAAAAAATTTTTTTTTTACTTTGTGGATAGGAGGCCCACCAATCGGAATTTGATAAATAACAAATCTCCATTTTAAGGAATATTCATGTAGTTCTCTGGGAAATTTTACCTGCAAAATTGTGAATCCAGATCCGTGCTTGGTGCAACGAGCGGAAAGGCGTCCTGCAGCAGAAGATCAAGCGTTCCCTGCCTTCAGCCCTGCACCATCTGTTTAGGGTGAGGTGGTGGGGTTTGTATGATCCAGGGGCATAGGAAGGTATTTTAGGGTGGTGCGGTCAGCCATCTGAAGTACAAGTTACTCGTGTGGGGAGGGGTGGCTGAGCCAAATATTTTGGAAATTTAGAGCCCAGACCAGTGTATTTTATTGATTCACGGGTACCTGGGGCAAAAATTGGTACGGTCAATACCGTATTGGTACGGTCAATACCGTATTGACCGTAGGATGTCCGACGCCCCTGCCGTAAACTCTGTCTTTAGGAACCCCTTTGTGCAAAGAAGACAGCTGGTCACAGTAGGTGCATCCCAATGTAATTTAGAATATCGTCCAGTGCCGGAATTGAAGTTTCCAAAGCCAGGCGGTTTCTTACTGCAGTGGTCATTTGCAATGGAATATAACAGTACTTCCTTGAGCATGAACTAGCATGGCTTTTTGTTGTTCAATTCCAAGGCTCTCGAAATACAGTTACAGTAAAAACTGGTGTAAGCGACCTCTGGGTTTAGCGACCGCCTGCTCTTAACAATGTCTTTCCATGCACCGACAGTTCTACACAGACACTGTGGGACCTGGTTCTAAAGACCACCTGGCTTTAACGACCGCTTTTGCTTGCACCGTGGGGTGGTCGCTTAAACCAGGTTTTATTGTACTTTGCCCGCGTTTGGTTATTGATGATATCAAGCTGTACCTATGGTAGACTATTAGTTCATTGAACAGGATCACAGAGGAGTGTTCTGATTGTTTTGTGCAGTTTAAATGCTCGAATGGTTCAAAAAGTACATGCTAAATTCCTAATATTTGTCGAGCTTGCAGCCACCCCTGGCCGTACAGATTCCATGGCCCATTAGTGATATTAAAATGACTTTTCATTTCTTCACATAGACACTGGTAGTCTCAGATGTGCGTGCATCTTATACTGTAAACTGCCAAATATTCGCGACGGATTAATGTTCGCTATTTTCGCGAGAAGAGCGTAACGCGAATATTAACCATCGTGAAATCTAACTTCAAGAGTGGGTGTATGTAAGTGGCCCCAGTGCTTCGCGAACGTTTGCCGTCGCAAACTCCCTGGTTCTAAGAAATAGCGAAAATTTAGTGACGCGAATATTGGGCGGTTTACGGTAGTATTGCCGTGGCTCACGTCTCTTGGTGTGGCTTGGTGTGGCTTGGTGTGGCTTGGTGTGGCTTGGTGTGGCTTGGTGTGGCTTGGTGTGGCTTGGTGTGGCTTGGTGTGGCTTGGTGTGGCTTGGTGTGGCTTGGTGTGGCTTGGTGTGGCTTGGTGTGGCTTGGTGTGGCTTGGTGTGGCTTGGTGTGGCTTGGTGTGGCTTGGTGTGGCTTGGTGTGGCTTGGTGTGGCTTGGTGTGGCTTGGTGTGGCTTGGTGTGGCTTGGTGTGGCTTGGTGTGGCTTGGTGTGGCTTGGTGTGGCTTGGTGTGGCTTGGTGTGGCTTGGTGTGGCTTGGTGTGGCTTGGTGTGGCTTGGTGTGGCTTGGTGTGGCTTGGTGTGGCTTGGTGTGGCTTGGTGTGGCTCACGTCTCTTGGTGTGGCTTGGTGTGGCTTGGTGTGGCTTGGTGTGGCTTGGTGTGGCTTGGTGTGGCTTGGTGTGGCTTGGTGTGGCTTGGTGTGGCTTGGTGTGGCTTGGTGTGGCTTGGTGTGGCTTGGTGTGGCTTGGTGTGGCTTGGTGTGGCTTGGTGTGGCTTGGTGTGGCTTGGTGTGGCTTGGTGTGGCTTGGTGTGGCTTGGTGTGGCTTGGTGTGGCTTGGTGTGGCTTGGTGTGGCTTGGTGTGGCTTGGTGTGGCTTGGTGTGGCTTGGTGTGGCTTGGTGTGGCTTGGTGTGGCTTGGTGTGGCTTGGTGTGGCTTGGTGTGGCTTGGTGTGGCTTGGTGTGGCTTGGTGTGGCTTGGTGTGGCTTGGTGTGGCTTGGTGTGGCTTGGTGTGGCTTGGTGTGG